CTCCTGCAGCAGCAGCAACAGCAGCAACAGCAGCAGCAGCAGCAGCAGTTCTTGCACCAGCCGCCGGGCGCCGTGTCGGCCTCTGAAACAGTACGAGGCCCCCCAAGCAATCAGCAACAGCAGCACGGGCAGCAACAGCAGCAGCAGCAGCAGCAGCAGGGAGGGCGTTTGCTGTCGGTAGTGCGGGTGCGTCGTTTTGCGCATGCAGCAGCAATTGCAAAGGGCCAAATAAATTTATTTGTCCCCTTTTTGGAAGCAGCAATGGGGGCCCTTGAGTGCTGTTTGCTGCAGCCCTCGGGCCCCGCCCCGCCGCTGTCTTTGCTGCAGCAGCAGCAGCTGCTGCAGCAGCTGCGGGCCCACCAGCAGCTGCTGCAGGACCCGCTGCTGGTTGCTGCAGTCTTGATGGCCATGGGGGAAGTGCTGCGGGCGGGGGGCCCCGGGGCCCCCGGGGGCCCCTCCCGCTGCTGCTGCAGCAAAGCAGCAAAAGTTTATTTGCATTTCAAATCTCACAAAGACAGAAATGTCCGAAGGGGGGCCCTTTGTGTCCTCGGGGGTTTGGGGGCCCTTGTCTCTTGGGGCCTTCTATCCTCTTGGCTGCAGGAGACGGAGGCCCCCCCGGGTTTGGGGGCCCTTGTCCCAGGGGGGCCCCCCGGGGGCCCCCTGGGGGGCCCCGCGGAGGCCCCCGCTTTGAACAGCTTCGCGCTGCCGAAGTTCACAGAGGCGACCCGCCAGCAGCAGCAGCAGCAGCAGCAGCAGCAGGTGGTGACGGAGAAAGGAGGGTTTGAAGGCATTGTTGAGTCTTTAGCAGCAACTGCAAGAGAAGACCCCGATGAGGCCTCTAGGCAATTGGCAGCAGCAATATTAAGGGACTGGAGAGCCAACACAAATGAAGAAATGGGGGCCCTTGGGGGGCCCCCCTGACCCCACTTGGGGGCCCCCCTGACCCCAGTTGGGGGGCCCCTCAGGCCCTCGGGGGCCCCCAACCCTTATTTGGGGGCCTCCGGTACTTGGGGGCCCTTTTGGGGGCCCCCAGAACCTTCCTCGGGGGCCCCAGGGGGCCCCAAGGGGACCTCTTTTGGTGGGGGCCCCCTAAAGGGGCCCCTCCTGAAGGGCCCGTTGCGAACAAATGTATATATTTATGTATTTAAATATAATTCATACAAATATAAATACAAATATAGATATAAATATAAATATAAATATCAATATCAATAAAAAATATATTTACATTTTTATTTTAATTTTATTTTCCCCCAGCGCGAGACAGAGAGAATAT